TGTGTGTGTGTGTGTGTGTGTGTGTGTGTGTGTGTGTGTGTGTGTGTGTGTAATGTTTAAGTGTGGCTGGCATTTTGTGTCTCATTCATCTGACTTATTTCTTTCCATCCCACCGCGCACTCCCATCATCTTAGAGCGATCAAAGGAGTCGCCGCTACTGGCAGAAGCGCAGGTGGGCACATGTGTGCAGGTGTATGTGTGTGCGCGTGTTCATGTGTGTATATGTGTGTGTGTGTGTGTGTGTGTGTGTGTGTGTGTGTGTCGGCCCGCCTGTTCGCTGTACACATCAGCTGTTATGACATTGTGGAGTTCAAGTGCACGGTGTCACGACTGTTCTTCTCTCGTCACCTCATCCCTTCCCCTTCATCAATGTATCCTTCCCCTGTGGTGCATCGCCGACAGCTTGAGGTGCTGCGGCGCGCGTACACGTGTTTCGCTGGCTTTTGCTATATGGACGTTCTGCAGGAGTTCCGATCTCTCCTCAACGACCAGGTCCACACCTTCCCCGCCGAAGGTACCAAGGCGGGGGGGGGGGGTGTCTGTCTGTCGGTCGGGGTGTCGGCTTCTGTTTCTGTGTGTGCGTGTGTGTTTGGGGTGTGCGTGTCTGTGTGTGTGTCTGGGTGTGTGTCGGGGTGGGTGTCTGGGTGTGCGTGGTTGTGTGTGTGTGTGTCTGTGTCTGTGTGTGTCTGTGTGTGTCTGTGTCTGTGTGCATCTGTATGCGTGTGTTGGGGGGGGGGGTGTATGGATGTGGTTGTGCTTCTTTTGTTGTCTTTTTTCACTTTGCTCCACCCCCGACACGCGTCATGTCACTTCTCCCCTAACACCACCATCTCATCCCCTTAATGCTTGTCGCTCCCTTCATCCGTGATAGGCAACGTGCTTGGGCTGTGCCAGTTCCTCGTGAGCGTCCGGAACATTCGCGAGTTTGAGTTCATCATCGCTCATCTTTACCGCACGCAGCACTTTGAGCAGCTCCTACGGCGGGTGTGTTTACTGTCGACTCGGGTCATGCCATGCCTTTCAAAAGCACGTGCCCACACGCGTACACGCGGACACGCATGTGTGCACATTGTAAACACATTTGTACATGCACACTTCACTGTCCGTCTCATCGATGGTCAGCTGTACCTGTGCACTCACTCTCCCTCACTCACTCCCTAACTCACATACAAACAAACGCACACGCGCACGACAGGGCATGAGCCATCTTGATGAGCAGACGAAGCTTGACTTTCAGTCGTTTCTGCGCGATTTCCTGGACCGGCAGCCCCGCAGTCACTACAAGGCAGAACTACAGGAGATATTGCCAATCTTCTTCGATGTTTCTGCGGACCTGGGCGCCATGCTCATGGACAAGGCTGATCGCATTCTAAGCGACTTTGTGCCAGACAAAATGGACTCGCCAGACTTTGTGGACGCCCTCATCATGTGCACGGAGGTGCGAGTGACACATGACGCTGAAGTGCACGGTGACTTGCTTGGTTGCGTGGTTGGTTGCTTGCTTGGTTGCGTGGTTGGTTGCTTGCGTGGTTGGTTGGTTGGTTGGTTGGTGTGAGATGCCATGTTGTGGATCACTGTGTGGCAGGTGATGATGTAGGAACGCAACAAGACAACCCACTTTGTCCTCATGGACCCATCAGCATCCTTACCATCATCCACCTCCACCAACGCTTCCGCCTTTTCATTCGTGCTTTGCGTTTCTCCACAGACGCTTGCTGACGCGGCTTCGCACTTCCTGAAGGCCGGAGCGCCGAGCGATGCGCGCACGTGTGCGTGGCGGGCGCAGTTGTGTGCACTGCAGACGCAGCACGACGACCAGCTGCTCTTGCTGTCCACCGACGAAGCGAAAGAACGCATGCGAACCATCTCCTCGTTTGGCGCCTGTCGCATTCTCGGCGAACACTACATGCCGGCAGCAGGCGACGAGAAATACTGCGAACCCGTCTTCCACAACGTAAGCACTCGCGTGGTTGGCGCGGTAGTCTGTGTGTGTGTGTGTGTGTGTGTGTGTGTGTGTGTGTGTGTGTGTGTGCGTGCGTGTGTGTGTGTGCGTGCGTGTGTGTCTGTGTGTCCGTTTGTCTATCTGTCTGTCTGTGTCCGCGTGTGTGTGCGTGTGTGCGCGTGTGTGTATGTCTGTGTGTGTGCGTGTGTCTGTCTGTGTCTCTCTGTCTGTCTGTCTGTCTCTGTCTGTCTGTCTGTCTCTGTGTCCGTCCGTCCGTCCGTCCGTCTGTCTACCTGTCTGTCTATCTGTGTGCGTTGTGCAACAGAAGAATTCAATCCTTTTTCATGCCCTTGCTCACTCCCCATTCCAATACACGACAGGTGATTGTGGTGCCGGGCATGCTTGCCTCTGCCACCTCCTCCTCGTCCCTCTCCCCCTTTGCCACCACCACCGCCGCCGCCACGTCGCTGCCAGACCTCGACCCGCCGCGCTACTGGGACGAGTTCAAGCGCCACACGACACTGACACCGCTCTTCTTCCGCGATATGCAGCGTCGCC